AGCTTATTTTTAAATGTTGAAAATATGTTAAATGCTGCGCTAAATTTGTCAAAACAAAATATTGTTTTCTTTAAATATAATAATATTTTTATAATGGTCTGCAAAGGCAGGCCTTGCAGTAAGTTTGTTATTGTTTGCTAATTAAACTTTGCTATTTCCAAAAATGTAAACTTTTTTCTGTATTAACAACATTTTTAAATAGGTTTCAAGTAACTTAAATACATAAGTAATTGTTTGAGCAAGTCAATTGCTTAAGTAAATTTTTATTACTCACAAAAATCAAGTAACTTTTTTTAAATATAAAATTAAAACTTTTTTGAAATTGAATCAAAAAGAAGTCGGTACTTTATAAAAACTTGTATAAATCATTAATTATATATCCAAAAATTTAACTTTTATAATTATTTTAGTTAAACTTTTGTTGGTTTCTTGGCTTTGTTAAATCATACTTACTGAAAAAACATATTATTTAAGAAAATCAAAAAAAAAAAAAAAGAAGTTACAACAGGAGATGTTTTATATTTATGACAAATTGCAAATTAATGTCTTTATTTCGGTCTTAAAGATGATAAAGCCTCTACAGTTGAATGTAAAGCTAATATTCAAACTAAATAACCATCAGAAAAAGGTATTAAGACTGAAGAACTTCACCTTTTCTTAGCTCAAAATTCCAATTTAATAAGGAATAAGGTATACTTAACTGTTTGGAGAACATCAAAAAAGAAATAGCTGAATTTCTGATACATGATAGTAATGAAGTCGGAGAGTGCTTGCCTTGTAGACGAGAGGTTTAGAGCTCCCACTGAGTCCTTGGAAGTACCATGTTCAACTTATTTTCTCTGCAGAGTGGCCTTGTCCATAAAGTTTTATGTTTCGGAGTTAAAAGGTTTACAGAGGTTTGTAAACACAATCAAAAAATGAAAACAAAAAGAGTAGCCTCCTTATCTGAAATGGTCCCCTCAGCCTTAGGGAGGCGAATATTAGAAAAGTATTGAAGGACCAAATGACTGTCTGAAAATGCTTTAAAAATTGCACTGTACTTTAAAGACTTTAGCAAAGATGTTTTAGTACTTCTAAATGTTTTTCTATTTATCACAAATTTGAAAACGTTTTTATGTGATAAATCTATCGAAAAGTTATGTTTTTAGCGTTTTATCTTGAAAATAGAGTTAGGTTATGATTTGTTAACCTATATAGTTCTATAAAAGAAAAGTATATGAGTATTTCATTGTTAGAAAAACAACTAAAATTACTTAAGTTACTTAAGTAATTTGAAAAAAAATATTTAAAATTACTTAAGTAATTTTTTCACACAACTTAAACACCCTTAGTTTTAAAGTTATAAAATTTTTCACACCAACCGGCTACTTAGCATCCATACATCATCAGTGTTTTACAAAACATTTCATGGAAGTTTGTTTGTGTGCAGAAAGTTAGTCACTGCAATTTCAGCATAAAACTACATCAAACACCGAATTTGGAAACTTTTACCAGAATCAAAATATTTGAACTTGAGAAAAAAAGCTACATGCTTTTTCATTTTTTATATTTAGTACATGTTTTTGTGAATCATTATTTTCTACAAAAAAAATTTATAAAATTAAAATGGTTAAAGCTCAGGAATTAACATTTGGCAGAATTGCTGTCAACAACATTTGACAGAACAGTTAATTGTTTTAGCTGCAAACAACTTTAAGGTGGTTACCCACTAAATAAAAAAAATCTTTAAAGAAACCTTTTTATCCCTCCATTTTTAATTATTTCAATTACATTGAAATTAAATTAAACAAAAAAATAAAATAAAAAAACAACTCAAAAATAGCATATTTTCCAACAAGGAAAACAACATGCAAAGTTTTCTAAATCAAGTGAAACTTTTCAAAAACATTGTTTATTATACGAACTGTATGCTGAGTCAAAAATAAAATTAATAATTTTATTTAATCCTTTGAAATTCAGAAATTAGTATAAACAAATTGTAGTTGGATGACTCTTGTTTTATTTTCCAAAAACTGCAAGACTTACACATTTTAAAAAGAACTTCAATGTCAACACACTTTCCGTTAGATATAAGGTTGACTACACCATTAAGATATGTATATTTACTACGTTGTCATGATCCATCTGTACTTTCAGATACGTTGGCAACTGCATCTTTATGGTAGGTATCATTAAGCACATTTTTTCTGATTTCCATTGCTGCATTTCTCATTACATTTTCTGCAACCTCAACATATAAATCCTGTAAGTTCTTGTTTGCAGTCTCAAATGGTTTAGAGTTCATTGGTGGAGGCATATTCATAATAAAAAAAAAAAAAAAAATTTATAGCAGTGTAACCACAACTTATCTCAAAAAAAGCCATTATTAACAAGTACTTTACTTGATAGATTTTCGACAATTTATTTCCTGATCTCTATAATTGGTTTTAAAGTTAATAAATTTATATTCAAATCACATCTTTGTAAGAAAGAAGGAAACTGTAAGCAAGCCTTTTTTTTTATTTTCCATATCATGAAAAACTTTAATTTCAGCTGTGCAATTTGAGCACCAACCAATCATGCTAAGTAAATTATTTAGAAAACTTGAATTCACATTTAAATTATTTATCATTACAGGCTTCTTTTTGAATGGTGCTTTTTACTTTAAGAAAATATATATCAATTTTGTCAGAAGAAGCTGATGTATGTGCAACTGTTTGTGAAATCATCTGGAGTAATGTTGATGTCTAAAGATTTACTTATATAAAAACGTCTTTTCTTAGCTCTGGCCTTTTTATATCTGTTTCCAGATCCCATGTTACAATAATATTATCAAAATAAATGTCTAATAACTCTTGTTAACAAACAAGATTTCTTCTAAAACAATTATGTTACTAATACAATTACGGTCTTACTTAGTGATTTTGGCAGCTGGCATTTAGCTCGGGATTAACTTTACAGTGTAGATAAAAACCTGGTTAGGGTAAAGTAAAATATTGGAGAAAAACTGCCTATTAGTTTTGGAGAAAAGAAGTTTCAACTGTTGTTTTGATTGTTGCTCAGGAACTTTTGGATGTTTACCCCTTTTTAAGGAACAAAATTAGGGCAAATATATAAATTTTTCTTCCATTGTTATATACTTTTATTTTTTTACTAAATTTACAAATTCCAAAAAATAGACTTTTTTTTTTTTTTAAATACTTTATTTAGAGGATAGCCACCTTAACTAATTATACATCTAATTTTAACATTTGATCAAAAACAGTTTTGAATAAAAGTTTTCTTTATCTAAACAATTACGAAATTCGCATTCTTTGCGAACATATCATTGTATTAATTAAGTAAAATTTAAAATTTTTAACAAGTGCACTTAAATAAATAAAAAAAAAAATTGAAATAGCGTGGCTCTTTATAACAATAAAAAATTGACAACCAACATTCATTGACCTGATTCATGCAAACCCCTGCTTTATAAATTCAAAACAAGGAAGTTCTAAACTTTACTTACTCATAACATTTAAAACTTCCAACGGGTTAATCAATGAAATTTAAAATCAAGACTTACTTCCAGAGTTATCAAAACATTCTTTTATAACTGCAGTATTCGAGTCAACTATGAAGGCCAACACTTTCCTTCATTTCCAGTAACTTGTGAGGTACTATATGATTCATTTTGTAGTTTTGTACTGTATTTTTCATCTATATTGATGATTTTCCAAACAATCTTTTTAAAGTAGCTTTTATTTGCTGACAAATCAACATTATACTTAAGTCTTGAGAGTTTAATAATTTATATTACAAAATAATCAATTGAGATAAAAGAATAATTTTGTGCTAGATTAAAGATGTAATACTTAAGAATTCTATTATAATTTCAATTAATTTTTATATATTAAAAGCTCAGGAGAAGTGATACTTCTGTGTATAATAAAAATACTACATCTCGGTTTTGTATAAATATTTATACCAACGTCGTATACTTTTGTATATGTATTTATACTGTGATTAGCCCTAACCAATGGAACATTAGTTTCCTTTTAATCAGTTGCTTTATAATAAATTTTTTTTTATTTTTAATAGAGTTGATTAATTCTTTTTTATTTAATTACCTTTTAATGTAGTTAAGCTTCTAGGGTATTCCTAATGTATTATGAAACAATTATGCATAATAATAACTATATGATGTAAGTATCAAATATAAATTTAAAAAAATTTTGATACATTTATTTATCCCACATTTCCACATATTACATTCTTACATCTCATTATATCAAAATATTAAAACATGGCTGCGTAAAAAAACTGACATTTGATACATAGCGGTTAAGTAAAAATGATACATCTAGGTTATGTAGAAATAACTGATATCTGTTACCAAAAAGTAATGTATTATGTTACTTTTCAGACATTACATTTATATGTTATATCTAAAGAAATAAAGTTGTTATACATTTATGGAACACTTAATAATACAAACAAAATAATACAAAAATTTGTTATTAAATATTATACATTATATATGTATTTAAATGCTTATTTTATGCCATTTGTTTGCTTTGCTGATACTAATAAATTTATGCAACATTTATCACAATTGTTAGTAAAAATAAACAACTTATCTATGATAAACTAAAAAAGACAGTAAAAATCGTGGTTGAAGTAAATATTTAAAAAAGTTTTGTTGTAAAGTAAATTGAGTTGGCAACTTTTACTTTTTGTTTGAATTATTAAGTTGTTGTTTTTAAACATATATAAGACACTAGCTAGTCATTATTGGTTGATTTTAATTACTTTATTTAAGTTAAGAGATTTTTAAAATGTTATGTGTATATATTTGTATACATAAGTAAAAAAATATTTTAAATTCAGGCTATCTGATTTGCTTTTGTTGTGTTACTGATATTGTGTTATGATATATTTTTAGTTGCAAATTTTTTTTCCTTCACTATTTAACTCTCTACAACATGATAATTTTTTATCAAACATTTAAATTCATAAAAAAAATTGTTCTCAAACCTTACCTATATTCTAGCTCATCGTTCACTTCAAGAATATCACTATTTACTGTATAGACTTCATTTGACCATGGCCCTCCTTCTCCATCCAGTTGGCAATTAGTTGATTTTCCTAACAGTTGGTAAACCGTACTGTTTCCTGCAAAACATTGACCACCATTTTGCAAAGCAAAGTACTTGTATTTACTTTCTGTTGCGGCTCTGTAACATTTACCAAAAGGATCAACACGACTTGAATAATGTCCATCAAGGACAGTGGCACCTTCAAGTTTAGTTAATGTTCGATTTGAACTGTCTAACCAACACCCAAGTTTTCTATTGGAAATCAAAATAAATTTAATAAACAAAAAATAAAAAAGTCTGTATATATATAACTGGCTAGATAGAATTAACTTTTTCTTTTACATGTCTTACTCTTTACATGGAGCAGTAGAATAATTGGTTGCTAAATTAAACATTTTTAAACGTTGCATTTTACATTATGGCAATGACAAATTTAGTTATAGTTGCTTTGTTCTAAATAAACAATTATTCATTAACCAAACCAACTTTACGAGACCAACTTCTGTTTGGGAAGCCTATTTTAAAGCTGAAAAGCAACTAATTGGGCACTTAGTCTGAGACATCTTTCGCTGAAAAAAAATAAGTTTACTATTTTATGTAAGACTTTATAATATTCGCTGTACTAGTATTCTTATAAGTGTCAAAAATAGAATGAATGATGAAATAGATAAATTTGACAAATAAATTATTTATAACATGTTATATTGGTAACATATAATACATTAAATTTTTTTAACTGATTTTTAACTGTTTTTTTAACTGATTTTTAACTGCTTTAGTTAAAAAATGTGATTTAAAATCTCCAGTAAACATAAATTAATGAATATGAAAAAGAGAATCAAAAACTACTAAATAAATAAAGAAACAAAGCTGCAGTCAATGAAGTTCAATCTGCGGAGTACGTAATAATCCATAGCTCAATCCAATAATCTAATAAACTCCATGATACTTGTGTAACATAGTAACATGTGTGGTTACTATGTAACAGTATTATGACTAGCCTAGAAAAATCTGAAAATTCAAAGTAAAATGATTTTCTTTTAATTCTTTAAAATAAAATGGTAAGATTTTTACAAGATTGCTTTAAAAATATTTTTGTCTATCATATTGTTATAAAAGAGATTTAAAAAAATGCCCGATTAGAGCCGTTGGTGACTGTAAGAGAGAGAATACTAATATAATACTTTTTTATATTATTATAAAAATTAAACTTTTATTTCGAAAAGGGCACAAATCCATTTATTAAAATTTTTTACAACCAACAAAATTACATGATTTTGTTTAAAATAATGTATACGCTGCTAAAGGAGTTATACATAAAAGTAGATAAATAAAGAACGTATTTAACTAATGTAAGTATTTTTAAAAAAAAACATAAATCATAGAGTAATGTTAAATTTAAATTTAGGATCTAACTGTTAAAAAATTTCGACTTGTCCTTTTTGAAATAACAGATTCAATTACACAATAAAAAAATACACTAAACAATTGTATACTCAGTTACAAAAGCAAATTACAACATATTGTAAACTCAGTTACAAATATAATTAAACTAATCAGTTTAACTTACTCAAATATGATTCCATCATATGCTACTTTTGGTGATTCAAAGTTATTTTCTATAAATATAAAACACTTTTTTTTACTAACTAGTTGTTTGTTGAAATTAAATTTTAGCTAGTCTGAATAAGTTATAACTATTAATTTGCTGTAAAAAGCGCTTGCTTCATAAGCAAGAGGTTCCGAGTTCGATTCCCACCACGTCCCTGGTTTTACCGCGCCTAATTTGTTTCTCCGCGCAGCGGCATTGTGCATCTAAATTTGTATTTCGGAGTTATAGAGTTGAGAAAGGGTACAATTAATTAGCCTCTCTCAAATCTTTAGCTACAATTAAGTAGCCTCCTCATTTGTTGTGGTAATTCTCCTTGGGGAGGAGAATTACCAAAAGAGAAAAAAAAAAATGTTCAAAAGTTTAGCAAATTGGCAATTATTTAAAACAAAAAAATAAGAACAGAAAAATAACTAAAAAAAAATTGTGTTGTAGGTATAAATGTGCAAAAGAAAACCTGAAACAATTTTTTTTGTACATTTATTCTTTATATTTAAACGTTATTATAAACAAATAAATTTACCAAACATTTAATAAACATACCTAAAACTCCACAAACATTCTTTAAGAGTAGGACCAATAACAGCACTGAATTTATCTGAAAGGACATCAAAGTGTACAAGAATATATAATTAAAGGTTTATAATACTAATATTAAAGGTGAAAGAGAAGATATTTACTAGTTATTTAACTTTTTAGCAGTTAAAATTTTAAAACCCACTTTTTATTTTTTATACTCTTAAAAACTCAGTTAATATAAAAGAACTGAATTTAAGGGTTACATTTTTTAAATTTCAGCCTATAACTTTAACTTTTAATTTATTTAAATGAAGCAAGTTGATAGTTAAATAATGATTGCAAGCTAAAAATCGTTTTTTAAATCATACCCAGGTTTTAAAATCATGAAATTTATAAAAATGTTTATAAAAGTTAAATTTAGATAGTAGGACGTTTATAGACTCATAAAAAAATGTAAAAATTAAAAGTTTACATTTTGTAGATAATATACAAAAAGTTTCAAAAAAAAACACTTACTAAATTTTTTAATTGAAATTTTACGATAAAGCTTAAAACTTGATTTTCAAAAGCCATAACAAAAATAGTAATAAACAAGATAATTAAGCATAATAATATTAAATAGTAAAATCAAAGGCATCAATAAATTTCTTCATTAAAACGTGATTCATAAGTTTTATTTATTTTATTCATTAAGTTTTTGGAGTTTTATGAAAAAGCAAGAAGCATTTTAAACAAACATTCATTAAAACAACTTTTTTCTCTTTTATACGCTGTCATATTAACTATTATAAAATAATAAAAAAATTGATTTATGTGAATAGATGTATCTGCAAATATTGTATGTATGATACTTCTGGAAGTTAACCATCCTTTGACAGTGGTTTAGCACTTTTGTCGGCCAAAGCGTAAACGTAAACGCACCAACATTTAATAATTTTGGCTTCACACAAAGAGACACCATCATTTGGCTTTCTAAACCCTTTTACACAATCTTTTGGACAACCTTGAAGTGCATTTGGATGTACCTAGTACAGTCATATTCTTGTTATTTTTATTCTTTATTTTTTAACGGTTTCTTTGTATGTAATTTTTCATATTGATTTATTTGTAAAAATTGTATTAAATATTGTAATAAAGAACACAAAAAAATTAAAAATAAAAATAAGTTGATAATTAATAGATTAATTATAAATATATTAGGAGGTGAAATTGTTATCAAAATCTGACCATTCTGCAAAATAATATACAATTTAAAGTACACAATTTTGTTAATAAATGCCAAATTATTACTTGTCAACTGTATCAATTTGTATAACAAGCTATTTATCTTACATAAATCAATTTTACAACAATACTAATAACAATAATAAGTTATGATTTAATAGGATTGTGTCAATATAAAGAAATCGGAGTAATGATAAACAGAAAGACATTCATAGAAACACATGGACCGTAAACACATAGACTAAAACAAATAGAGCATACATTAAAGATAAACATGTAAAAATCATAATTAGCGGGTTATAATAATTAAAAAAAAGAAAGAAAAAATAGAAACAAAATTACTGATAACAAATGTAGTAATTATAATTTAAAAAAAAATGATTCTATAGTAAGGATAATGTCTAAGAGCTAAATAAAATATTTTTCAGAATTTATTTAAAATGATTTTGTTTAATTGGAGAAAAAGTATTTTAAAACGTAGTTTATTGCACTCATTCAAAATGCATTCAAGGTTCCTATTCCATTCATAGACATACTGATAAACAACATAATGTTTTCCATACTTCATTGTTTAGAAGATGGTACATTTAATTTTCTATTTTATATATTTCTACCAGAGTAGAAATGTTTTATTTCTGCGAACAAGTTTTTAATAAAAGATGGTAAATTATAATTTAGTAAGAAACAAGTTTTTTAAAGTACAATAAAAGTGTATCAAAAATGTATAAAAATTTGTCATAAATTAAAAAAAAAAAAAAATTAACAAAAACTAATATAATTTTGTGCGTATTGATGGGTTGCAAAAAAATAGTATGGTCAAAACCATTAATTTTTCATTTATTGAAAGGTTCTACAAAACTTAACTTATATTGCAATAAATGTTTTAAAAATATTTTTCAACTATTACTATATTATAATATTACCATCCCAGTGGGCATTTCGACGTCGAACGAACGTCGAGCGACGTCGGATCTCGACGTCGGATCGACGTTGGGTTTACGTTGGAAATGGAAATGTTATTTGACGTCGGATAAACTGACATCGCGCGACGTCGGCATTCCGATGTAAATCCAACGTGTTTTTTGAAAACTAAAAAAACGTTGCCTTAGGCAGGAATTGAACCTCGGTCTATTAGATAATATATCCTACGCGCTTACCACTACACCACAGGGACATGTAAAATAATGTGTTTATATAGTAATGTATACTTGTAGCTATTTGGGAATTATTACTTTGATAAGAAATAATTTTGTTTAAATGTTTCATAAATATTAAAACGAATAGTTATATATTATAAAAAATGTATACTCGAAAATGTTAACAGTTAAAAAACTATGCTAGTGCATCATACAAAACCTCATAATGTTTTATCAACCATTATTCAAACTTTTTTCCATTAATAAAAAATCATGCTTAGTTCACATAATTATTGAAGAGCGCAATTGCACACATATTGCACATATTGTTGGGTTTGGATTAAATTTTCATCAGCGATGTCTTACGACGTTGTTCCGACGTTGTTTTAAGGACGTTGGATTGACGTCGAAAGACGTCAAAAGACATCGGAGTACGTTAATGTTATGACGTTGCCCGACGTCTTTTTATCGACGTTGGATCGATGTCAGTACTGCGACGTTTTTTGAACGTCTTTTATAAGATGTCGGAACAACGTCAAAATACATCGAAACGACGTCAGGGGATGTTGAGATAAAGACATCGCCCGACGTCATTTTACTGACATCGGAACAACGTCGGAATAGGTCTTTTGACATCGCTGATGAAAATCGTACGTAAATCCGACGTCGGATTGACGTCGGGTGCCCACTGGGATGTTATTAACAATATTATGAGCAATAAATAATATGTAGTTATATTGGAATACAGCTACAATTTATATTAGATAAAAGTTATGTATTATGGATCATTCTTAAATATTGATTCATAATACATAATTTATACTAAATATAAATTATAGCTGTAATCAAATATTAGATAAAAAACAATATATTTAAAAATTTTTTAAACTTTTTGAGTTTTTATGGGCAATTTTTAACAGTCGGCGCTCAAAATTTTTTACAATACAGTCGGTGTCAAAATGATTTACAAATCTTTAACTATATAAAAACATCATTACAAGTAATAGAAGGATTTTTATCTATACCAATTGTGCGCAATTTTATTACAAATATTTTTGCTAACTGGTGGTAATTTAATAACGCACAAATTCGTTACGAAACTAAAAAAACGTGGTTTTTAAACACAATAGTATTAAGGCTCAATACACAGCAATTAGTTCACCTACTTCAAGCCCTGGCCATTTCAAAGTGGTTTTTAATGATTAGCTATTTTTTCTTGCTGAATATTATTCTTGTTAACCTCGTGCCATGACTATATGCCTCCTGCTACAGCTTTATAGCTCTCTGACATGATGCCAGAGAGCTATATAACCGTAGCCGTAAATAAAACTGTTAAGCTGGAGAATAAACTATTTGTATCATAAAACCATAAAAGGTTAGGATCGTTTGTTTAATCTGAACTGAATGGTTCAGATTAAACAAACGATCATTAAGGTATTTATATAAGATCATTTAGAGCAGCCGTGGCGCAGTGGTTAGAGCTCTGGCTCAGAACCCAGAGGTCCGAGGTTCGACGCCAGCTCTAGCCCAACAAGTGACATTGGTACGGAAGGAGGCGTGAACTTCCTGTTAAATGCTCTCCCGAGGTGCTCTATGATCAGACCGTAAGGACTTCTGGGAGCACCTAAATACCCTTACGGAAATATTCCATAGAAAACCCATGGAACTCCATGAGTAAACCATGATTTTCCCCTGGAAAACGGGAATTCCATGGAATTTCCATAGGTAAATTTCATGAAAATTGAAATCCCGTGGAATTTCCATGGGTGAACCATGTTTTTTTTTTTCATAGCTTAAGCTGCGCCATGGTTGTTACAAATGCGCTTTTAAAGATGGCGTCATAGCTCGTAGAGTTATGATTATTTTTAACTTTAAAAAACAATACTTACTGCATTCTTCTGTTTTTCTGTGTTTAATAAGACTTTGAATTATATGTTTTTTATAATGCATTACATTTATATGATTTAAACTAAACATACAGACATAAACAACTAGATATATTTATCATATTATAATGCATTATAAAATGGATTATTTTTAATTATATTTAATTATATATCATTTATGCATATACTTATTTTAACTGTTTCCAGTAGCTTTGCTTATATTGCATAACTTGCAATAGTATAGCAAGTATGTCAAGTAAACCAGTTTGAATTTTAATGCCTACTTGGCAAATTATTTGCCAATTACTTATTATTTGGTTTACAACAAATAAATGTTTAGTTTTAATCTACATTAAATAACTAGTGTATTAACGTACATAGTGTAACTTAATGTACATTCAAACTAGTATAATTATTATTAAAAAACTTATCGAACGTATTAAAGAAACTTATCTAAAATATTTTTATACAAGCAGCATATTAGATAAGATAAGATAACTAAGATAATAAGGTTAGATAACTAATGTACAAATAACTAGTATGATCTTTTTTATTTTTTTTTATAATAGCCTTAGATTACATAAAAATGCTTGAAGTTTATTGTATCGTAAATGTTCATTAAGTATTAAAAAACATTTTTTTATGATAAATGTTCTATTCAATTTTAGTTCTGTTAAGTTGTCTTTTTGTTGTTGTTTTTTCTTTAGAATTATTAGAATATGTAAATAATGTAATATAAATAATGTTTAAATTCTTTTATATTTACTTTACTATTTTACTTAAATTACTACATTATAAGTCAACAGGTTTGACTGGCAATATAAACAATGTTG